ATCTTTAGATTCAGCCCCAGCCGGGGAGCCGGGAAACCTCAACGGAAACCAGATCCGAGCACAGTACCATACCAGTTTTACATCCATTTTTTTCTATTTGTATGACAAAAAAGTTGTCTATAGACTCGTTTATTTAACCAATTTCTGAACTTAATCCCTCTGAAAGTCGTATCAGAGGCATTCATCCACAGTATGCACCAGTGACTACCCGTTGACTAAAGCCATTTAGTATACAGTTCGACCAGTGCTGTTTTACGGTGCAGAGACTTGACCATTACGGGAACAGGATAAAAAATAGATTGTAGGTGTTCGAACATCGCTGTCTACGTCGCATTGCACGAGTCTGGTGGGGTGACCGGACGGGCAATTCTGAGGTTAGGCTTAGAGTTTTAGACAGTCGCGGTTGTCCACTGGAGCGAGTAATCGACCTCCATAGATTACGTTGGTTGGGGCATGTTTGACACATGTCACCAAATAGGTTGCCACGACGATCGATGTTTGCCGAGACAGGAAGCGGTTGGTCAACGGTTCAGGGTGGCATAAGGGTATGAAAATCTCAACCAGGAGACTATGTCAAAAAGGCCCCGTTAGGCTCCCTGGATGGGGACCTCGGGATGATGGTCACCGGTAGTTGGAGACAAGGTGTGATATAGGCTGGGTGTCGCAAAAAGTGGCACTCGTGCATCCTCTCATTAGTCCCCTAATATCATTCTATTTTAATTCTCCATCTTCCGCTTCAAATTGCTTTCAACATTCCAATCTTAACTCTGCTCCTTTAGCCAAATGGGCAACCAAAAGACAGCAAAAAAAACTGACGAACGAAAGTGCATAGTTAATGGTTGTAAAAACTGAACCGAGCTGAGTATGCATGGGGTTAAGCCTGATCCGATGTTATCAAAGAGTACCGTTTTGGTATAAGGCTTCTGAAATAAATTAAAATCACGTGCGTAGAAAAAGATATTAAAACTCATTTGGCCCCTCGTTTATCACATTAACTTCACCAACAAAACAATGTTGTCGGCATACATCAGTTCGACTCACTTATCAAACGCTTCAAAATCAGGAAGCAATAGCATTCGACGTTCCAGAATTTTCCGTCGTAAAATAGCCATACTACGTTCGTAATGCTCGCGCATCTCATCGGGCACTGTGCTCCAATCTGCCGTGCCCGGTTTCGGTTGTACAAACGTTTCCTGGGGTAGAACTCGAACCAGCGGTTTGGTTTCCAACTCTGGCAATGTGAAAACTGTCAGAAAAAGTGGCCGGGGAAGAATTGAAAAATGCAACATGTTTATTCCAACTTGTCTTAGAAGCAAATGCATATTTCATGTTTTATTTATTCTCTATTTGATTGTCTAGACGCGGTTAGATTAAACTATACAACCGATTTCATATCAAAAGGTGGTAACTTTGTCAGGTCAAGCGAATTATAAATTCCTAGGTGAACTTCACCGAAACACTAATAAAGGCACGTGATTATAATCAGATTATTTTTTATTGAATTTTACTTCCTTTTATTCAATACGCAATGATACAATTTTCAGGAAGGGGGAAGTGGCCTATCAAAGGGCTGCCATGGGGAAAGTCAGGCGGTGGTGGTAGGGTTTGAGCACACGTCCCCCGAGGTAATAATTTGGTGACGTTACCATCGGGCCACCACCGTCGTAGATTTAGTTTCACAAGATGTTCCACTTTCTGAAATGATTTCCAACTGGGGAATTAGGCGGCACAGATGACAGTGACCAATTTACTACCCATCTATACAATGTTGCTGATTATAATTGGATGGACCACCTGAAATTCCTTTGCAATGAACGACTTAATGCACACAACACCACAGCTCACTCCATATAGTCCCATCAGACATAAGCAACGCTTCGAAGACTATAGAAAATCTATTAGCATCGTCAGGGGGCAAGGTCTTTCAACCATAAAGCAAAACATGATGAACCGCATCGACGTGCACTCCCCGTTTCCCGCGTTGTTTTAGTTTCAGTTTGTACAACCATTAACCACGCATATTCGTGCGTCGATTTTGGTTACTGTCCTTTCACTACCCAACTGGATGAAGAATAGGAGAAGAAAGGAAAATTGAAAATGGAGTTGGACTGAAAATGGAGAAGTTCAGTGGTTTAGGGTTGCAAAGAAATTGAGAAAATGCACGTTAGGGAATATTCGCATGTCATACCACAGCTACAGATGTCGCAGATTGTTAAAAGCTACCATTTCTTTCGCTGTTTGTGACCTCTATCCAAAATGACTTGCAGTTGTGTTTCAGTTCTCAGGGTTCCGAAAGCTCTCAGCTACCTCTAGATGATCACCACAATTGGTAGTGAATACGAGCGTAAGCTGCTGTTCGTCTCGTACAAGCACTGTGCAAAGCACGTACGCTATGTGGATTCGTCAACCGTCATACGGTTCGAAGCGCTTTGAACTACCTGAGCATTGTCACTCATCAAAATGATATCATCTGTATGTAATACAGGTCATAAGCCCTGTTCCCCCTAAGAAGTTGAACTCCATTTGACAAAGGTTTTGGGTAAGCATCTTTCACACTGAAATCCGGGCTATGAGCGGATCATTAAATCACTGGTAGTTCGCTCAGAGGAGTTGCCTAGTAACCTAACCAACCAACCAAGAAGAGGTGTTTGAACCAGATCCACATATTTCTGGTTCTAGAACAGTCACCGGTTGAATTGGGCGTCCAGATGTGATAGGCACCTTGAACCGGCTCAAATGGCATGTGATCCGATGAACCGGACACCAGCCGTAGGTAAGTTTACATTAATTTCACTTCTTGTTACGAGTCCTATTTCCTTATGATCCCTGCCGATCAGGATTGATAAGCGTAAGGTTCAGAGACTGAGCTAAAATGTGAGACGTCACGGCACTACGCGTCAGATCACAATTCACTAGATCAGCAAAATACGGAGAATTCTGAACAACGGACCAATATTGATTAGTATGATTTGGTGGAGTTAGTCCTATCTTTTTTGATTTAAGTAGTTTGAAAAGAAGTTGAGTTGTCTCTGATCGCGCCCTACTCATCGTTATTGTGTGACTGAATCATCCACCGAAACACTTGACCAGGTCAGTTCGGATGAGTACACGGATGAATCAGAGGGGAGAGATATTGCACAATCGTCGCATTTATGAATTACCCTGTATTTGTGGCTTATAACAATGCGTTCAAATTAGTTCTGTAGTGCGAATGCTGTTGAAATACCTGTTGAAATACCGTGCCACATAAAACGACAATTGTACAGTGAGACAAAAGAAAGTTGCCATTCTTGTTACCGTTATTCATTTTATGTGGTTGATGTCCATTTAACTCTAATTTTTACTCCAATATGTATAATCTAGAAATATGAATGACGGGACAAAATTTCCCTGGAAGTACACAGCCGGTTTCGCGGTTCTTTCCGCTCGTCAAGTATTCATATCTGGGAGTCTTTTGTCTCTTCATTTGTATGCTTGTGCTTCAAAAATATTTTGTCCAGTTATTCATTTACTACTTATTGAAAAATTTTCAATAAAGGCGCTTAAGTTGAGGTTTTTACGGTTAGTGGCATTCAAACCCCCTACAAATCATCGAACTATATCATTGATTCTTCAATGGACTGGTTTTGGAAGAGCTATCCAAACAAATTTACCCGGTGTTGCAAATGAGGTTATTGTGACGAATGTATAAATAATAAGAGAGTAGGCAGTATTTGAAACATCTCAAGTTCATACTAGTTCAAATTATGTAACAAAAACATGTTCGACCCACGACAGTTTGGCGGAAATGAACAATGAAGTGATTAACTGAAATGCGTGGAATAGAACGAAAAACGAACCAACACTGATAAAATTATTCATGTTCACGGCCATAGCATCCCCTGTAGCTTTTCGGGTCTTGCCAAGATATGTTTGATGGAATATGATACAACAGGATAGAATCTTCTATGTGAAAAGAAAAGGACTATTCTCATCTTCTATTTAGACCTTATAGCTCTTATGTTTACCTGAATCCACATCCTCCACAAATTTGGTCCAATTAACCATGTTCGGATCTTTCTTGGATGCATATGCAATCGTTAACATGCTCATTTGTGACGGGGTCAGGTCGTGCAAATCCAGTCGCGTCAGCCCTGCCGCGGTCAGACAGCGAGCGAATTGAGTCCGTGTCATCTGACCCGATCTTAGCTGATCGAAATCATGAAACCAAGGTTTCAAAGGAATACGATTTGTCAAAACTAAATGACGAATTCGATCCAGTAGAACATCCACCGGCCAATCGTCTCCGGCTGATTTGAGCTTTGGTTCATTAACTGACATCCAGTCACAACGGGAAATCGGTTGACCGGCTTTGGTCTCACCAATCGCCGGTCTGGGTTCTTCCGCATTCGGATCCTCGTTCTCGTCGGATTTGTCCTGACTCGGACGATCAGGATCGTACCAACAATCGACCGCTTTGCAAAATGTCCGATAGCTTACTTCACCGCTTGTTGGATCCGCGAATTTGCGACACAAACGTCGACAATCCTCCGCACTGATTTGCATCCCAAGAAAGTGCAGGACTCGAGCAAACTGAGCTGCCGTGATCAGTTGCGTACATCCGGTTCCCTGATTTAATCAGTGAGAACAAAAGGGAACATAATGAGGGATACAAAAACTTATGTGTACGTTCGCACGAGAATGATCATGCAATCATGGTTTATCTCTCATTTCGTTCACTCTATTCAGTGAAGTTTTTACGTAATAACAATGTGTAGCATACTGGATATGTTAGGCAAATTCTCAACAGTGAATAGGACTTAAATTAAGTGGAATAAATAAGCAGTGGTTCGGTATTCACCACCTCGCTGAGAACAACATTTTCAAACAAAACAAGGAAGAATGATCTGAAACGTTCTTTAGCCAAAGTGTACTGATGAAGAACTTCCAATAGAAGTAATCTTTACAGATCAATTCTAACCACTCTTTAGTGACAGTATACTTTTCATAGGTCTTCTCGACTTACCAAATCAAAATCTCTGAAATACGGAAAGGTGAGTATTCGTCTTTTCTCAACTTGCGATCGAATCTTGTCCAACACCTCAGACACTTTTTGTTCCTCATCCTCGTCCAATTTTGCAAGCCCCTAGAAACAAAATGAAGGTGTTCCGTGAGTATGTATGTTAGATGAACCGTGGTCAATGCCGGCAAAAGAGGACATTGCATGGGCTATTTCGACGAACTGTGGGGAAATTATGCCAACTGTCAAAAAATAGCTGTAACACAATGTTTTGCTTCCAATAGTTCTAGCCACCTCGCCCTCCCCTCCCACACACAGACGCACCACCATCCGCTGTCAAATAAAGTTATGAATTGCCAATCAGTGATGCAAACGTAAGAAGCACTGGGAAATGGAACAAGCTTCTGAACCCAAAAGGGACTGACTGGAGCAAACTGAGTTATCTAGGCGTTTGAAAATACACTTTTGTGTTCCGATCTATCGACCTGTTTCAACTCCTACGATACTATCTGATTTTTAATATTCGACCTCTAGCAAATACGATATTACAATAATATATTCCTACTTCTGATTTATCTAATTTTGTTCACTCAAACTTCGTCTGATCTCAAGAATATGAATGTACTAGTAGTTTACCAGTTTAGTTTACAATTGTGAGAAGGTGTCATAACGGATCAGTCAAATAGAGGATCCACCGCAAATGAAGAACATGAAATGAAAGACTGTAAATTTTTCTGTTCATATCATCAAACATCATGCTAACGAGGACGCATTCAATTTCATTTCCGTGTCGTCCACGTCAGACCAATAAAAACATTAAAGAAGTTTTAAAACGAAGTCTCTGTGGCCAAACGCTACCCAAAACGACTGTGTGGAGCATCGTAAAAATGCGTGAAAGAAAATAAATTGTATACAAACGACGGAAAACTAATAAACTATGGTGTGCTTGGCCTTAAAATGCAACTGGATGGTTGATATGTTATATAGCAGTTTTATATGCATATTCAAACGAACATTTGCAGCGGTATGGTCGCGTGCAGTGTAGACCAAAAAAGACGCTCAAAATTCCATGACCTTTCATAGCGTCACACTTATTTTATGCATCAACCTGCTTGTACACATTAGGCAAAACAGATCAGTGCCTGACCAAAAAACTAATGGGCCGATCGTCGAAAGAGGTGTTGACGCAACACAATTCCATGGCACACACAGAACGCCAACACGTGAACAACCGACTTTCTCCACTGCAATTACGATAGCATGATCTAAGATTGTTCCCGCGGAATCGTCTAGGGTTATGGTATTTTTTATTGCTATCCAAAACCGTTGATAATTTCTCAATCCATTTGGACTATAACACAAAACAGTTTTAAGTACGGTAAAATAACTGAACCTTAAAATGTTGACTTGGGTTGGTATTAACCATATTGCACTTTTTCTTTCATCCGCAATCTCGACTACATGCCAAACTATGCTCCTCTGCATTCTCGATTGTCTCTGTTTATTGATGGATTAATGAATTACATTGTGAATTCCCATCTCGTAGCAAACGTTGTTTGCGAAGAAATTTCTTCTCTATACATTGCATCAGGCGTTTACACATATAAGCTGATCATAGTACAAATGTCTGATTGGCCAATTAAAGAGCTCAGTTAGTAACGATGACAGGCGAAAAATAACAGAGAAAACGAACAGGACAAGGCTAATGATAATCACGGTGGGGTGAGAAGACAAAGGTTAAGTGGACAACATTAGAAGATGGGTAGATTAAAAAGAAGGTTGTGAGCTAAGACGAGAGAGAGAGCGGGATGAAGTTACTTAAGATACAGTAGAAACTATATGTCATGCATCGCAAGTGATGTAATCGGAAAGGGACACTGAAGACAAAAATAAAATATTTTATTTTATTTTTGTCTCCAGTGTCCGTTCCCGATTATACCACTTGTTATGCATGAAGAGTTTTATTAGCCAGAGGTAGAATTGATGAAAGAACAAGCTTGTTTGTCTGCTTGTGTTGTTTCGTTGAAGTAAATAGTTACTTTATTTTGTTACATCAATTATTTCTCTTTTTCTGTTTCGTAATGTATTGAATTCTATTCACCATTTTTCTCACATTTTAATCAGTTTCATGTAGTACCATTTAAGTTTCGATGATACCTTTTTTGAGCATATCAATATTTGAGTCTGAAAAGTACCAGTTTTTTAAATAAAGTAATCGCATTCCTTACTATCTAATGAAAATATCTACATCAATAACTACAGGTCCGTTGAAATATCTTATTGTTTACTTCACTGATTTTTTTAAAACTATCATCATCTTCTTGCGCTGTAGCTTTTGTTTACCTTGTCCACAGTCTTGCGCCTCCTCCCCCAAACTCACTGTATTATGGTGAAAATTGCCAAAACTTCCTCCTCAGAATGCATAATAAAGCTTAGTGTGACTTGATTTTAATTGACACACACCGATGTTTTCCAACCCAGTTGTCTATTTTAAGCCATAATAACTAAGGTTTACAAATCGCTTTTTTTCTTTATTCACAAGATTTTCGCCTAAATAAACCAATGTTTTTCACAATAATGGATGACAAAGGCTGTACACAGTATCGTGTATGTAAAATATTAAATGGTTTAACTGTCTTAAGTGCGTTTATTGATGTTGAAATTTTAAATATTTTAATTTCTCACCAAGATTCCGCTTCCAAGAACGAATTGCGAGCTCAAAATGACCGTGAAAAAGTGGGGAATTCCGAATACTGCACATATAAAGGGCAATTAATTAGGGCCAGTACTCTAATTAGCTTTTTCTAAGCTTTAACTTTAATGAATTTTTCTTGAGGTGGATAGTGTGTGAAATTGGTGAGCAAAAGATTACTTGAATGGTTAGGGTTTTGTAGCAATTAATACATACTCATAAAGCCCCCTCGACTTCTTTGAGCAATAATTCAACGATTACGGTCATTTCAGTTAGGTATCAGAATGTATTCCCTTGGTCTACTTACTGGTTGACCAATTTTGTGGAAAATCCAAAACCCTGAAATCGCATTGAAAGCCTGGATTCCGGGTTTGAGTAGTTTGCTCAGTGTGGGATCAAATGTAGGATGATAACAAACATGACGATAGTATGGAGTAGATAATCAAACAGCTTACGTTGTGTTAAACGACGACTTCAATGTCCTTCTCAGTTCAGACGTGTTTTAATTGTTGGAGGCCGATTTTTTCGATGTAGCTATATTATTGTGATATGACCAATGTAATTGAATCAGAAATTAGTGGCGCATTGCTCATTCGGTTACATTTTCAGATTTTATGCACCGAAACGCTGCAGATGTCTTTGATTAACTTACTGTGAGGTTGATCTTTCATTTCTATTTTTTTGTAGAACACATGTTTACATGCCTACTTTTATCCCTTCATATGTAAATTTACAATAAATTCACCCTAACATTACATTCCCGATTCTTCGGCCTGTTTTCGGTAATAATTTCACGAATGAGGGAATCCCAAGGGGATTCCAATCTTATATTTAACTTCAAAATCTAACGATAATGCTCGTGTTAACTGAAGTTACTTACTCTCGAAAGCATTCCAGGGGCGGGCCAAGATGGTTGTTTTAAGGGGTCCTTCTCAAGATTGAGAACCAAAAATGCTGAAAAGAAATTAAAATCACCACAAAATTAGATTTTTTGCCGTCATATTTCACTTTCTATGCCGCTAATTGCCTGAGATTTTCTCAATCCTCTGAACAACCGCGATCTAGCACTAACTTAAATGTGTAAACTCTATTGATCTAGGTTTCTCTGTTGGGAACTTCGAGATCATTGTAATCAATGGCTACAGACACCAAGTCATATGACTACAACCAGCTTTGATTGATCTGAGTTCTGTATTTATCATAGGTGCAGCTTGAACTATTCGTTGTCCGCCAAAACGAACAATCAAAAGTCAGGTATTCGAACCGTTGATAGCGAAGGGAAGAGCCATAAAATATGCTTCACCATTTTGGACTAATAAATCACCAGACAAAATCTTGGGGTAAAATTTCAATCCGCAACTTACGTGAATCGACTTGACGACAGAATTCACGGTAAGAAATAAGATCTGGATTGTCATTTTTCCTGTAGTAGTTGGCTATCATCTGTACCTCAGGACGAGTTAGTTGGGCCTCTTTTCCAATGGCCAGAAGCAAAGCACAGACAAATTGGTGTTCAGTGACTGCATCGTGGCGCAATTTGTCGTAGTCTGTAAAGAATTCCATAACTCGTATTCCCCGTCTATGAACAGCAAATTTAATTCTATCCATTATCATATGCAACGAAGGTCGGAGGTAATTTTCGTACGGCTCCGGAATACCTGTGCATTGCTCCCGCTTTCATAATAACAATGAAATTGAAATAAATTAACTTCAGTAGCAAGTGGCATGTATCGTAACGCCTAATAAACATCAATCCAAAACGCGTCACCCATATCCAAAGCAATAAAAGTTGCTTTGAACTAGGACATTTTAACGAAGAACATAATATTTCTCTCTAGAAGTTCAGTGAATATCACGAACTCCTGATTAATAAATCACAAGCGACAAACTATACATGTAATTCTAAGAATATTGTTACGACATATGGATAATCCATCAACACATCAGAGTTATAATAGATGACTCTTCAGTATATCAGAGGTTCTTCATGAATTCTCATTTTAAAACGACGAATTAATGTATACATTAAATTGGAAGCTCTCGACAGACAGGGAAACAAACTGGAAATATGGAAAGGATTATCATAAATGAAGCATTACAAATTTCATAACATTTTGTTGGCCATTTGCATTTTGAGCGATTTGACCATAGTGTTTTGCTTCAAAGTGTTTTTGTTGGTTAGCAAGACCATGGTAATACTTTTGGAACATTTATTGATCAGACAGATTTCCGGCAATATTCCTTAGACGTTTTGATTAACTACATTTAACATCACTCGGCACCCAACAGGGTGAAATTAATTTATTGGTGCCGTTAATTTAATGATTTATTCACTTGCGTTAGTAAAATGTTGAGCTTATTTTTTCGCCTATTGGCAGAGGTCATAAATAACAATTATTGCTAAACATTGTGAACTTGATGCGTTGTGCACAATTATGGAGTCAAATGCAAACTATTGGTATTGATACATTTTATTGAGAAACTTTTATAATCATTGTGTTTTCTCTACATCTTTTATCAAGCCTTAATTCTGCCTTAATCTTTGCTTTTTATACATTGATTACATTAGTTCAGTTAGAATCCCGGACGACAGGTATTACTTGCAGAATAATAACTCGCAGATATGCTAGTGGTCTCAAAATTGAAACTTTGCAAATAACTCAATGAAGAGTCATTTGCTAGTTTTAGTTTCAATAGTTTCTCGTTAAAGACAAAACGTATACAACACTAGCATACAAACCGGATGTAAAGAACTCGGGATACGAGTCTTCAATAAATTTTCCCTGGCCAACACAAACAGTTGCTCTGCCATTGTACGCTGTCATCGTAAGGCCTCACCTGGAGTGCTGTGTTCAGGTCTGGGCACTGCAACTTCGGAAGGATATCAAAGTCCTAAAACATGTTCAGAGACTGGCAGCCCGGATCTTTAGGGTCAAAATATTACTCAACTACTGGGAGAAACTTAACTACTTGAACCTGTTTTCCTTTGAAAGAGAATCTCATTAAAGTGTACTAAGCCACCAGGAATATGAAGCAGTCGCCCATTGAACATGTGTTTACTTTGAGTGTCAACAACATTTTTTGAGGGCAAAAGTACACATTAAGACCACTGGGTTCAGGCTAGTAATAAGGTACTGCTTCGTTGCAAACCACCTCATCTAGTTAAATGTACCACAATAATGGGCTTCAAACTACAGCCGGACAAGATGTGGTATCCTTTTTTATCGGAACTGCCTTAGGAATCAGGGCCCATTTGATTTTACTGATAAAATGCACGTAACAGATAATGCACCATCTTTCTGTTCATTCCAATTCCCAGATACCAATCATTTTTTGGAAAGTAGGAAGACATATCACAATCGCAGGTGAGTCAGCCCACGGACGGAACCCGTCAATGACACAACTGCCAAAATTTCAGGGTCTTCCTGCGTCCTTTCGTTTATATATATATATATATATATATATATATATATATAACACCAATCTTAACATATACGGCACCA